GATGATGGTGATAGTTGTCGCTGAATTATTGTTGTACTAAAATTCAGTTACGCAAGCGATCGTCAGTTTTCCTCTGCCATCGCACATTCTGAATACACAAGACGCTGCTCAGTTAGAGAAAACTCTTTTAATGTTTTCCTTTTTTTTTTCACAGATTTGATAAAAAATAACAAGTGATTTTTGGCGAAACATAACAGAAACGCGCAATAATTAACAATTAAAAAAAGAGCAAAATGCTTTTGATATTATCTGAGGAAGAGAGAGGGTATGCAAAAAAAAAGAAAAAAACAACAGCAAGTGTAATAAAAACGACCATCAAGGCACTTGGGGGATGGTGTGGCCCCGTTTTCTAGGCCCTTTGGGTTTGGTTTTAAAGTTATCTGATATAACAATATCCGGTGGGATTTACGGATAACGTCCCGGTGAGAATTGTATACTGGTTGGACATAATCTGCTGCTGTCGAGATGCTGATCTTTGAGCTTTCGATTTTCTTTCAAGCAGATTTACGATGAAGTTCAGGGATGAAACACAGAAAGACTACCAAACCACAGTAAGTACAAGCTTGCCTATATGCGAGTTCTAAATGCCACTTCTGGGTATTTTCATCAAATTGTCAAAATTCGACTGTGTTCCTTTCCGCGGTGGTAAGCCAGCAACGTCAAACAAACTGCATATGTTAATGTACAGACGATTTTAAGCCCTTTGGCCCTTCTGAAGTCTCCTGATCAGGGATATCCACTGTTTATATCTTTAAAATTCCCACAACAATTGTATGTGGCACCCCCTCGTGAAAAGTTTTGTCCAGACCACTGTGAGCGGGATTTGGGGTACTTTTTGTACGGTTCAAATGACTTGTCGTCAAATGGATTTTGAAGCGCAATGAGAAATTCCTCCAAGCGAACTGCGTTAGTGTCGGCGACTTCAGAATTACATGATTTTTCATATCCATGTGCTACTCGCGGAATATTAATTTACCAAATCTAAATTCTTCGGATCTTTCCTTAGATCTCATGCCTCCCCTCACACCAGAGATTCCATGCCCCTTCCTCACGCTCTGGGCCCTATGTCCCATTCTCATACCCCGAACTCCATGCCCCTCCTCGGGGCTAATTCTGGAGGGTTTTTATCGTCAGATTTCATCATTACATGATACAACACTGTTCCGCACAAGCTGGGCCTGTAAGCTGTCCGAGTTGCTGAAGTACGCTTTCACCCCGAAAACAGCGCCAAAATACGTTTTCGCCTCTCCGCTCCCCAACGGGGGATAGTAAAATCAAGTGAAGTAAATCAGTCAGAGGGAAGTGAAGAAAGTTGATGGTACAGGATATATGAGATAAAATCGGAA